AATGACATCAAGAGAAGCATAGAAAGTGTGGAACACACCAACTACAGTATCAGCTAACAGGAATAATGCATCGTGAGTATTCTGCAAGCTCTATTTGTACCAAGGATAAGACCAAGATAATAATCCAATGGCTTGAGGATCCTGCAAATCTAGAAAAGATCAAAAAAGGCTCTGGAGTTACAAAGAAAGCAGTTGCTACTAAAATTGCAGCACTCATTTCCATAAAAAAATCGGTCAAGGTTGACTACAAGTATGATAATCTTTTAAAATCCTATCATGCAGTAGTGAAACTGAATATTGAAATGGGATGTGGGCTCTTACAGCAAGATTTAAGTGAGGGGAGAAAAAGTTTATGAGGTATTATGACATTTTTATTGTTTTATATATTTTATTATTTTCTCTCTTCTTACTTTCACTTTTTATTTTTATTTTTTAAACTAAAAATTAATTAAATTATAAACATAATATTTAAAATACTAATATATTCTATGCTAAACATATGAGTAATATAAACAGATAAGCTTCTATGACAATGTGCCTATTACTTTTGGTTAGAATCAATTTTTAGAGATTGTTCTAAGATAAGTTTACTAATACTTTATGACTTAGGTCAAAGCATGATCGAGATGGATACAATTGTTGAGCAACTACTTGGAGTAATATCAATGGGCCTAGGCACAGAACCCATAAGAGAAGATAATGGATTGAAGTTACTTGGAAAGATTGGAGGTAGAGAAAGTATGAATGTGGAGGAAGAAAATAAGATACACATGGAGAGTAGGGAAGGGATAGAGATCATTGGAGACTCAGAGAGAAATATTGTTAGGAATACCGGGATCGGATACCTAGGAACCACCCTAAGTAGGGTAACTCCACTCAGAATTGGAATCTCTGGTCTCCAACACTCTCCTCCAGCCTGGTTACAGGGCCTGCACATCATTATACATATTGATCTCAGTTGCGTCTTGTACCTATAATTTTAAAGAATTGAAGATGTAAGACTAATACCATATACGTTGCTGCTGTCCATCTGACCAGATCCTGTTTATGGGTTAAATGAGAGCGGACCTTCAGCCAGGTCTGGAAAGTGGAATGGAGTATATCCGTCAACTACTCAGAGAGTTACTAGGCTTCAAAGATGTAATGTCTGTGGTATGAACTGTATGTGACAGGACGTTTTTGCATGAAAAGATAGTATTGAATGGTAAAGGATCTGAATGAGAAACCAATATATTTGTACCTATACTACAATAACCAGAAGGGTCTAGAACTCTGAGAAACACTACCACAGAAGTCAATGGACTGCACAGAGTGTTACAACTGGGTTCAGGAATGTGGTAAGGTTGTGGAAATAATTCCCAATACTAGAACAGCAATTGAAACCCTGTTATCCAGAGCAACCAAGAGTTGCCAACTGAGGAATAATTTGTTGATCAGGTAGAATAGCTTCCCGTGAATTATTAGGAAGTCTTCTGGAAGATATCTGTCAGTTGAATATGGAGTTATGGAGGTTCGAAGTCAGGTAACCTAGGAAGATTGCAATTACGACTACCTTTGCAGATACAACGAACAGATAAAACTAATCATTTCATCAATAACCGAGACAATTGGGGCCAACTCAGTTCAACTTGAGAACCAGGCCATAAGTTTAAAGACTCTGATAATAAGATAACTACTATTGGGAACAGCATAGTTTCTAGTTAGTTATATCGTAATTACCAAAAAGAGTGTGGTGATTTTCAGAGTCTTCAGGTATTCACACCTTTGAAGAATACCTGACGTTGTGAGAGAGGTACATAGTTATATAATAGATAGATGTAGTCCACAAACATTCAGATGCGAAATATAAATATTAAAGCGCCTCACAAGCTTTTAGACATTAACAAGCAACGAAGAAGAGACCTTAACAATATAATATTGTCTTCACAGTTCTATTCTACTTTACCTACTTTACTTTTCTCTTAGTCCTCGATCTTGTAATCGAGAATTGTGAAAGCTGTCCATGTTCT